GGGAAGTTGTCGGTTTGATATCTTGTGGTCCCTTTAGTCACGAGGAAGCTTTTAGTGAGGGACTGTTGTTCTTATTGACAAGATAAAGGTTAAGCTTGGGCACTGGGCGAAAAAGAATCTTAGCTATGCTGGAAGACTTCAACTAATTAAAGTTGTTCTGATTAGTATTATCAACTATTGGTGCACGCAGTTGATCCTACCAAAAGGAGTGGATAAGGAAGATTGATCAAATGTGATTGAAGTTTTTTTTTTTTGAAGGGGAAGAATACAACTATTTCTGGTGCGAGGGTGAGCTGGAAACAAATATGCTCACCGAAATCAGATAGTGATCTTGGGGTAATGGATATTTAGGGTTGGAATAAAGCTTGTATCTTGATGCTAGTTCAGAATATCATTCGATCATTGTGAGAGGCTTAGATAAAAACTTATGTGTTCAAAGGTGTTAGTTTCTGGCAAGTTGGGAGAAGTGGGAGTAGGGCTAATGCTAGTTAGTGCTTAAGGAAAATGTTAATCTTTAGGGAGGAGTTTCGCCACCTTCTTGTGGCTGATCTTGATACTGTTAATATCAGGTGGTTTTATGATGAAATTCGACCAGTTAGGACTAAGGTCCCTTGGCATAGAACATTATGGTTTGTCCTTCATATGCCTAAACACGATGTCATTAGTTGGATGACGAATCTTACGAGACTTCCAACAAAGAATTGGTTGGGGAAAATGGGGCGTGCGATTGATGAGAAGTGTGTTGTATGTATGGATGCTATGGGATCACAAGGGACCATCTATTTTTTGAATGTGCATTTTCTAGGGACGTTTGAGAAGCCATTTTGGGATTGTGCAATTTAAGCAGGATGGCTCAGAGTTGGGAGGAGGAACTGGTGACTTGTTATCTTAGGGGTAAATCCCTGCTCTCTTTTATACTTAGTATTGCTATAAGTGCTTTTGTTTATGGTATATGGGAGGAAAGGAATACTAGGCTCTTTACTAGCACTAGTAGGAACCAGGGTGATATTTTGAACTTTGTTAAAGGGGTTGTTAGAACTAAGCTTAGCACAAGGCTATGGATATGGGGGATGAAGTAAATAGAAGTCTTTGTGATAGGTGGGGGATCATGGTATAGAGGCTGCATTTGTTTTTGTTGGCTGCCCGTTAATTGTCATTTGTAGCAGTTTCTGTTTCTGGATAATAATACGCTCATTTGTCGGAGACTGGCTAAAACTATTTGCTTCAGGGATTGATCAGTTATGCCCAAATAGTAAAATTCTTAGCAGCTAATGCCAGACCAAGCACTAGTAGATTTATTTATCAGACTCTTCCTCAAAGAATGGATTGGGCATTAACCTAGATAAGCTTCTACGCACTTCTCTTGGATGTATCCCACGTTATTTTTCATAAAATAAATATTTGATCGTGACATATGGTTTAACTTGTCGTTGGATACTTATATGCGATGTTATTTTTTTGGATGTTTGAAGATCATGCTTTTTATACATGCTTCTTTTAGAGGAGCTTGCTACTATTGGATCTTCTACTTGGTGGGAGGTGAATAATTGAAAGAATAGGTAGTTTTTGTTACATGATAGCAAACACACTTGCCTCGTTAATCCTTTTCAGGAAATGACTAATAAAGACTTCCTTTATTGCATCTACATGATTAAGCAAGAATGAGATCTGGCGCTTATGAATGTGCTCAAGGTAGCAGCATGCAATGCTCTAGTAGTTTGGTCTCTTTCTCCTTGTCGTGCTTACGGTAACACCTTCCGATTTTACTTGCAAACGACATTGCAGAAGCTTCCTAAAAATATATTTGAACGGAGCTACAGTTTCTGTTAGAGAATTTGACTTGCAGAAGAGAATCTATTCTCTTTGCTACAAAGCTGCAGAGTTGTGTATCATTGGATTAACTACAGGAGCCGTGCAAGGTTCTTTCTCAAATGTTTTGTCCTGTGAAAAGAAGGAAAAGTAAATAGATTTGACAGTATTTCAATTACCTTTTTATTCTATCTATTTGGAAAGAAAATATCCTTGCTCATTTTAAGGTTCTTCACGTGTATATTAGTGGCTGATTTTTTCCATAAATATCAGGTTATCTGTGATCATTCCATCGGTGAGTACCAATGCACTAGGTTATGGTGGACTCTATACAAACCTTAGATATCAACTTTTGTGCAAGTTCGATCAAGTAATGGTTAACCATTTTTATGTCATTGGTGTAGAACTTTTCTTCAGTGTTGCTTTAAGGTAGGTCTCCGTCTCTCTTTCCCTTGCCTCCCCTTTTCGTTCTCTCTCTCTCTTCAACCACCAGCACCACATCCCTTTTGTGGCACAAGTATTACTGGAAGATGTCTAAATTATTTTTCGTGCACGTTGAACTCCTCATTGTTGGTTACTTTATGAAGTTCATGGTAATTAATGTGGTATTCATTGCCTCAGCCGGTTGGTTCTTGGCAGGGTTTTGAAAGTTTAATTAGGAGAGAGATCGATGTTGGCTTGGCTAGGTGTTGAGGGCAATCCACTAGTTCTGTCAGATGACCCCTTGAAGGCCTACAATAGATCACCTTCTGAGGATGGGACGAAGTCATCTTCCAAATGGTTTATATCCAAGAACGTCGTTGTTTCTGGTCTTGGACTTCTTGGCATCAGACAAAGAAATTGTTAAGAGAGCTCAATATAAACCATTCTGGGCTAAAGACTATGTGCCCAAGTGAAGATTCTACAATACACACGAGAGCATGGTGTTTCATTCTATTTTCAGTATTTTCTTGTTAGTTGGAATCATGTTTTCCTATTCTTTAGCATATTGTTATTTTGAGTCAAGTCTTCCTAATTTTTAGCAAGACTATTATTATTTTCTATTTTTAGTGGGATAGTGTAGAGGGAGTTGAGTCGTATTTCACCAAAATGATAGGCGATATCAAGAACATTGTTCCACTTCGAGTGAACTCCAGAAATGATATAGGAACTCAACTCCCTCTACACTATCCCACTAACAATAGAAAATGCTAATAGTCTTGCTAAAAATTAGGAAGACTTGACTCAAAATAACAATATGCTCAAGAATAGGAAAACATGATTCCAACTAACAAGAAAGTGCTGAAAATAGAATGAAACACCATGCTCTCGTGTGTACTGCAGAATATTCACTTGGGCACATACTCTTGAGCCCATAATAGTTTATGTTGAGCTCTCTTAACAATTCCCCCCCATGACTTTAGCCTTTCCACAAGGTTGCTATCATCCATTCCTACAGAACCTGAAGGAACAGTATCAGAAAAGAGCGATGGGTGATTGCAGTGAAACTCCTCAACATCTTCCCAAGTGCAATCGGTCGGTGCAGTGTTGCTCCATTGAATTAAACATTGCTCTTTTGAAATTCCATTGCTCTATAGCTGTCTACAATCAATAATTTTCTCCGAAGTTACTATTGGTCTGTCATCCTCATCTGTTGCCGGAATCGAAAAATTTGGTTCTGGTGGGTTATCTAAGCAGTGAAACAAACAAGATATGTGAAATACGTTGTGGATTCTAGAGGTAGCAGAAAGGTTGATTTCATAAGACACATTTCTGATTCGAGGAAGAATGCGATAGGGGCCAAAAAACCTTGGAGATAATTTTTGAGATGGTCTATTGATGAGAGACACCTGACAGTACGGCTGCATTTTGATGTATACCAGTTCACCTTCTTCAAATTTCACATCCTGTCTCTTCTTGTTTGTTTGTTGCATCATTGCTTGTTGAGAGTGTCTGAGAGCTTGTTTTAGTTGACTAAGGAGTTGGTCGTGATGAGTGAGTGTGGCATCAATGGATGTATTTTTTGAGGTACTAATGATATAGGAAGGTACTGTGAGTGGTGGTCTGCCATATAGAGCTTGGAAAGGACTCATTTGGATGGAAGAATGGAAGCTAGAATTGTACCAGAATTCTTCTAAATGCAAATAACTGCTCTATTTTTTTTGGCTTACCATTAGTATAGCAACGCAGATACGATTCTAAGCACCGATTCACTACCTCTGTTTGGCCATCAGAATGAGGGTGGTAGGAGCTGCTGTAGTGGAGTTTGGTGCCAAGGATACGAAACATTTCCTTTTAAAACTGAGATAGGAAAAGAGGGTCTATGTCCGAGACATGGTTTAAGGAAGGCCATGGAGCTTAAAAATTTCACTAAGAAAAACAGAGGCAAGATATGGGGCAGTATATTTTTGTGGAAGAGATATAAAATGTGTGAACTTGGTAAGTCAGTATACAATGACCCAAATGGTGGTTTTGCCTGTTGAAAGAGGAAGATTGGTGATGAAGTACATGCTCAGGTCTTCCCAAACTTGTGAGGGAATAGGTAGTGGTTGAAGAAGGCCATATGGTTTTTGAGTGGAGTATTTGTGTGTCTGACATATATGACATGAAATTATATACTTATGCACATCTTTGGACATTGCAAGCCAAAAGAACGAAGAGGCCAGACGAGCTAGTGTGGCTCGATTGCCTGAATGTCCACCAAGTGGGGAGGTATGATATTCAGCAAGTAGTTGTTGTCGGAGTTCGACCTCTACAGGTATGTATAATCTTTCGTTAAAGTATATCAACTCGTCATGTACTATAAAACCTAAAATGAGGTCTAATTTCACCTTCTATATAAAATCCATTCCTTCAGGCTCAGTTGCAAAATATTCCTATAGGGCAGAGAGCCATGTAAACTCAGGAGCTGTGATAACGACATATGAACATGTCTGAACTCGTGACAATGCATCAGCGACCTTGTTCTCTTTACCAGGTTTGTATATTATCTCGTAATCATACCCCGTCAGTTTCGTGAGCCATTTATGCTGCTCCGGTGTTTTACTGATTGTGACAGGAGATATTCAGACTTTGTTGGTCAGTGAAGATAAAACAATTGCGACCGAGTAAATACTGTCTGAATTTCTTTACAGCCTTTATTAAGGCGAATAACTCACGAATGTATGCCGATGTAGCTTGCATTTGTGGCACCAGTTTCTTGATGAAGTAGGCTATAGATGATCACCTTGCAAAAGTACAGCTCCAATAGTGGTTCCTGATGCATCAGTTGTAAGTTTGAATGTAGCCATGAAATCTGGAAGGGCTAGTACAGGTACTTGGGTCATGGCATCCTTAAGCTCTTTGAATGCACCATCTGCTCGTTCATTCCACCTGAATTGTTGGCTCTTAAGAAGGTCAGACAACGGGTTGGCAATACCTGCATATTGACGAACAAAGCGGCGATAATAGCTTTTAAGGCCAAAAAACCCTCGTAACGCTGATACGGTGGTGGGCTTGGGCCATTCTATAATGGCTTGAATTTTCTCTAAGTCTACTCGAACACCGTGACCCAAAATAATGTGGCCCAAATAATGGACAGTAGCAACGCCAAAAACACATTTTGATAATTTTGCGTAGTACTGATGTGATTTCAGGATGGTGAAAACCTGACGGAGATGTTCGACATGTTCCTTGAGTGTTGCAGAGTATATTAGGATATCATCAAAGAAGACCAGTACAAAATGTCGCAGGACTTCATGAAATAAATCGTTCATGGCAGCCTAGAAGGTTGAGGGCCCGTTGGAGAGCCCGAAGGGCATGACAACAAACTCATAGTGTCTATCTACAGTGCCGAAAGCTATTTTCTGAATGTCCTTAGCTGCCACACGTATTTGATGGTACCCGGAGCGCAGATCGATCTTTGAAAATACCGTAGCACCATGGAGCTCATCCAGTAATTCATCCACCGTCGGGATTGGAAATCGATCCTTAATAGTGATGGCATTGAGAGCACGGTAGTCAACACAAAAGCGCCATGTCCCATCTTTTTTTTTGAGCTAAGAGCACTGGTGAAGAATAAGGACTATGGCTGGGGCGGATAACATATTCTGTATAAGTTCAGTCATGATGGTTTTTTGATAGTGAGGGTAGCGATATGGCTTGACATTCACAGGTTTGGAGTCAGAAGTGAGGTGTATATGATGATCATGGTTTTTGGAAGGTGGTAATTAAGTTGGTGGTTGGAAAATAGTGCTGAACTTAGTTAACAATGTGTCCAGGGGTGGGTAATTTGTGTTACTGTTTTGGTTGGCTAATATCAGACTTGGTCGGTTGGTTTCATAAATGATTGCGTGCATCGTCATGATGGAACCTGTGTGTAACATGCGGTTTAGTTGAGAAGGAGTGGTTATAGACAGGTTTTGGCCTCTGATTAATTTGACTTTTTTTTGTTGGTATGTAAATTCCATGCTTGGATTGAATAATCCGAGATGAACCGGCCTAATGAACTTAGCCATTCTACGCCCAGCACCAAATTAGCCCCTTTTATAGGCAACACCAATAAAGAAATCTCGAAACAACAGCCTTGAATCTGCACCTTCACATTTGCATATTTTCCTTGACACTTGATCAACTCACCATTTCCCACCATACCTGAAAACTTGGGACAACAACAATTGGAAGTCCCAAAAAAGATGCCACACGGGGTTGCATGATATTGTGAGTACTTCCGAAATCAATTAACATTGAGTATACCTGACCTTGGATCTCTCTGCTCACTCTTAGTGTTTTTGGACTTGAGAGTCTGAAATAGGCGGCAAGTGAGAGATAGAACTATGAATCTGTTGTAGTATGATATTGAGCTTGGTTATGAGGCACAGATTATGGTAACTCAGGATGTTGAATATCTGATTGTTCTTCCTCATCTACGACTAGGAGAAGAAACTAAGGTCCCTTGCATATATGGTCTAGTCCATATTTTTCCTCGCAGTTATAATATAGGCCCTTGAGCCTTCTTTCAGCTACCTCTGCCCGGGTTAGACGGTAAACTGGAGGCATATTGTTACTTGGTGGGGATGTCAATAAAGGTAAAGGGGTTTTGTTTGGTTGATTTTGTATAGGTGGAGTGTTTGGGTTAATAGAAAATATGCTCATAGGATTAGAGCAGGCTCGGCGATCTCGAAGTTTGGATTCTATTAGTTTGGGTTGACCAATAGCCAGGGATATTGTGCTAGATTTGAGGATGGCTAATTCTTCCTGAATTTCTGGTTTTAAGCCCGACAAGAAACAATCTATAATAGCTTCATTTTGTAGTCCTGTAACACGATTACAAAGATTCTCAAAATTTGCTTGGTAGTCTATGACCGTACCTGTTTGACAGAGCTTAAATAGGGTTGCCCGATGGTTATCATAAGACGATGGTCCAAAGCGCATTTCCAAGGCCCGAACAAAAGCTTCCCACGTCGTTAGCTGTCGGTTATTATACATCCACATAAACCAACTCAAGGCTTGACTTTGCATGTAGAATGAGATTGTACTGAACCGATCTTCGGGTGGTAGTTGGTAATAGTTGAAGTATAGTTCGGCTTGAAAAATCCAATCTAATGGGTTGGATCCATCAAATGGTGGAAGACTCAGTTTAGGGGGTTTAACAGAGGACATTGGGTTTGTGGATTGAAGGTTGAGGGTAAATATGGGAGAGTTGTATTGGTATGGACCTTTTTTGTGGAGTTTTCATATTTTCTTGTTTCCTGATCACTATGTTTCATGGCTTGGGTGAGTTGAAGTTGAATACCTTCAACCATAGTAGCTAGTTGGGTTAGAGTGTTTTGTATGGTTGAAATGAGAGCAACTGGATTTTGCATCTCTTCTGTTTGGGTTCGAAAAGCTTGGAATTGATCGTTTAGAGTAGCGAATTACTCCTCTAATTGTGGTTTGAATTGATCGTGTTTCGGAGGCATTCTCTCAACGAAAGTACCAAAATGATAGGCGATATCAAGAACATTGTTCCACTTCGAGTGGGAACTCAACTCCAGAAATGATATAGGAAGAAAGTAAGATAATAATTGAAGCAATTTTTTGATATTCATTCATGGAAAAAACCCACATATAAATACTAGGTGAAATACGACTCAACTCCCTCTACACTATCCCACTAACAATAGAAAATGCTAATAGTCTTGCTAAAAATTAGGAAGACTTGACTCAAAATAACAATATGCTAAAGAATAGGAAAACATGATTCCAACTAACAAGAAAATGCTGAAAATAGAATGAAACACCATGCTCTCGTGTGTACTGCATAATCTTCACTTGGGAACATAGTCTTTAGCCCATAATGGTTTATGTTGAGCTCTCTTAATAAAAATGTGGGGAAACGGGAGCTCCAAAGGGCCGGAGAAAGAGGATTGTCAGAAAGAAAGTAACTGCAAGCTCTGCATAGTTAATTGGCATAGCTTCCATTGGTGTCCAATTTTACTGCTCGGCGGAAGAATTCGATACGAAGAACCTCTTACTATGATTTTTGTCTAGTGCTGATTACACTGGCTGAAGAAATCGAAATGGCGACGGCACAGTAACTGGCAAATTCTTAACTGCTTCTTTGTCTGACTTGGTGTTAAAACTTTTGTATACCAATGGAGTGCTATACTCCAAGTTGAGTAAGTGAGATTTCTTTTGCTTTCCAAATAAATTGGAAGGGATGTTTTTTGGAGATATACATGCTTCTTAGATGAATTACAATAAAGCGTTGTGCAGTCGATTGTTTTAATCCAAGTTTATGTACAAGGCATAAACAAACTGTTTTCTCATATGTGATGCCAATTTCTTTTGAAATGGAGTTAAGACATGCAATGGATTTTCACAATAACACACAATTATAACACTAAAAACATTGTTGTAGGTTGGAACAAATATCAACATGTCATAACGAATTTTCGAGTCAACGACGGAGATGATGATGTGTTTTAAGATATTGTAAAACGGTAACATTACCAATCATTTTTAAAATGGGAGATTTAACGAAAATCAAGTATTACACAGCTGACTTAATGTAAAAATAGGTGTCTAAATTGTACCCAAAATTAACTTTAAGTGCCTAACGTTTTCAACATTACATTTTAGGTGCTTACGTTGTAACGGTCGTTAAAAAAAGGTTAATTGACACATGTCACGTTTATATATGTTTGAATTTTTTATTTTTTTAAAAAAAATTAAGAATATTATTAATTCAAAAAACCTAACATTTTTTTAAATTACAAAAAAAACTTGAAAAACTAAAATCTCTCGCTCTAACCCATTACCAACCGACATCAGTTATTTCCTACAATCATCATTATTGTCGAACGGTCATCCACCCGTCACCGCGCACCCAATGATCAATTGTCGTCGTCTTCATTGTCATTATCATCACCCTAATCTCTTAAATCTCTAAAATCCCTAATATACAAATCCCTAATCCTTTGAACCCTCGTTCTCAATTTATAAAATCCTTTATTTCTACCGCAAAAAATTACAGATTTTTAAGTTTACGCGCATTTGAACTTGAATCAATTTAACGTGCTTTACACATGTTGAACTTGGATTTAGTTTCTACCTAATTAATTTGGGGGAAGGAATTCACTGGGATTAAGTTTTAATATTACTTTTTAAATATATAAAACTAAAATATTTTTATAATAAAAATTAAAATGAACTCTTAAATATAATACGATTACTTATAATAACTTGGGTAAACTATACTCATTACCACCTAATTATTGCTTTTTTTCACTTCAACTCCTATTTTTGAAATTTTATAAATCAGGTCATTCAACTATTTAAATGCATTCAATCAAATCATTTGTTGTTAACATTTAACATAAGTGCTTACGTGATGGTTAAAAATTAATATAATTACACATTTGGTTCTTATTACTTACACATTCTATCAAATTTGTCATAATTTTAAACTAATTTAATATATTTAATTATCCAATCATATGATAACATATGTGAGGACATGATTAAATGATTTTTCTTAATTTATATTTAATTTAAATATTTTTTCTAATAAGATTATTACACGTTTCAACATCTAATTTAAGAAAAACAAATTGAAAGGAAATGATGCATTCGGAGAGGATCGAATTATTAAGGGGGTTTGTGCATGCTCCTACTACTCAACCAACACTCATACTTAATTCATGTGTTACAACATTTTGTATTATAACTAATTCGGACAAAAACTAGAAAGGGTGGTTGGTTATGCTTCTTCTTCTCCAACCTCAAGCCTTCTTTCTTCCCTCTCTTTAGGCCTGTAAACAAACCGAGCGAACACGATTAGAGGAATATTTATGTTTGTTCGTTTAATTTTTACCGAACAAATGAACGAACACGAACATAAACAAATAAAAAATATCTTGTTCGTGTTCGTTCGTTGAAGAATGTAGCTTGTTCGTGTTCATTCATGTTCGTTCATTTAAATGATAAACGAACACAAATGAATAAACATAAACAAACGAATGTAAAAGAACATAAACGAACACAATAAACGAGCGTAAACGAACACAAACGAATGAACTTAAAAGAACACAATAAATGAACATAAACGAATATAAATGAAAATAGATTTTTTTTTTCTTTCCTAACAATTTTAGGATTATAATTTATTTAATTGTTTTGGGCTTTTTTATTTTTTATTTAAAATTAATTGAATTTTAAAATATTTATAGGTATCAGATTAAAATTTATTAGGTTTTAATATTTTAAATGGGTATAAAGAGATTATAATATCATAAATGAACGCACATAAACGAATAAACATATTACCAAATGCTCACGAACATAAATGAACGAATGAATCTTCTATTCGTATTTGTTCATTTAATTAAACGAACACAAAATCTTATTTATATTTATTCATTTAATAAATAAACGAATTTTCCGCCAAATATTTCGTTGAACGTTCGATTCATTTACGGTCCTACCTCTCTTCTTTCTATAGTCACCGTCTTCCGTTTCTCTCGCTCGTTTCTCTCGCTCGTTTCTCAAATAACCACACTTTTTTCCCTTTGAATCTCAAATCTTTAATCTCTTTTAGTTAAGGAATTCTAGGTTTTTTTTCCTCGTTTGTTTTCAAAGATAAGATCTTTTTCATCTATGAACTTAGTTTAGAAAGGAACTCAGCTGTCAATCCACCTTTTCCCATGCCACTCACCATTTTCGCCTCCTTGTTCTCTTTCAACTCATCTTAGCTACCCGACAACGGTAATCGAAAGTAGATGCTGGATATCTGGTCCAAGTTCATTGTTGAATCCGACAACTAAATTGTTTCTTGAGCCGCCACACAAGATCCTACGGTACCTGAAGGTTCGTACTTGACGACCCACGTTTTTCGCTCTAACTTCACCTACAGTTTCCCGCTGGTCACCGGCTGAAAATTTGTAAGATTATATTTCTACGCTAATTCATATGACGACCAAAACGCCAGTGATTTGTTTTCAGTCACTAGTTGTTCCTTTGCTCAAGAATTTCAGCACCGCTCAAACGAGTGAAGCTTTGAATTATGCTTTAGCTGTCAAGAAGTACTCCATTAATGTCGATGGTGAGTTTTCGAACTTAATGCTTAGTCCCACTTCCAGTAACGCGTATGCTTTGTGAATGGAATCGAGGTATCGTCAATGCCTGATATTTACAGTAATCTTGACGGTGTACATGTCATCGGTCAATAAACTCCGTTCACCATTGATGACACCACGGCTCTAGAGAATGTTGGTGGAAATGATATACCGCCATCCGGTGATACCGATATTTTCCGGTCTTGGGATGATGATCAGCCTTACCTTTTTGGTGCAGCCTTTGGTGTTACTGCATCTGCTGATCCGAATATCACCGTTGATTACTGTTTAGGGATGAATTGTTGTGAGTTAGTTGGATAGTTACAGTTAAGTTGTTGTAAACGGTTATTTGATCAGTTGAGGTTAGGTAGTTTTATATATATAAATGATGTACTCTTGTGTTGTATCAATATACTTGAAGTATTTTTCATGAGTAGTTAAATTTTCCAAATTTCAACATGGTATCAGACTGAGTTTCAGTCCATTCCTTTTTGGGCTCTTTCTGTTTTGGCCCGTTTTGTTTATGTTTCGTGTTTCTGTTTCACAATTATGATTACTTTGTTTTCCCCAATTCTTTGGTTCTTGCCCTACTTTTTTTTCTCACCTTCAACCATTTTTTCGACCATTCCTACCGCTGATGAAATGGTTGATTTCGCTCATGTTTTGTATCTTCATCCATCGGATATGCCTAGTCCCATGCTTGTTTCTCAGTCGTTGATTGGTTTGGACAATTACAACGTTTGGAGTCACTCTATGAAGATTGTGCTAATGGCTAAGAACAAGTTGGGGTTTATGACGATTCTTGTCAACGAGATGTTTATCCTGAGGTGTTACAATTGCAATGGGATCGTTGTAATGCGGTGGTGTTAACCTAGCTCCTTAATGTCATTAGCAAGGAGTTGTCAGCGAGTATAGTTTTTGCGACTGGTTCTACGAGCATCTGGAAGGATTTGCAGAAATGATTTGATAAGGTTGATGGGTCTTGGGTCTATTTTTGCACACAGAGATTGCAACTCTTTCTCAGGGAGAATCTACTGTTTCAGGTTTTTTTCTCTAAACTAATGCTTTTAGATGAATACAAAACACTAATCCCTTTTTCATCTTGTGCTTATGAAGTCTTGTAGTTGAATCTACATAATTTGGTTCAACAAAAACTTTTTCAGTTTTTAATGTGTTTAAATGAGTCGTATTCGGCGTTACGAAGATTTTATTGATGCAGCCATTGCCTTCGGTTACACAAGCTTATTCGATGATTCTTCAAGATGAGTCTCAATGTCCTCAACTCTCTGTTCTTGCTGATCCTAGCTCAACAGTTTTGTTCGCTAATTATGCTAGCAACTATGATCTCCTTCGTTTCACTGTTTCTTGTGATTTTTGTAAGATCAAGGGGCATAAGATGGAATAATGCTACCGTTTGTTTGGGTTCCCACCTGGTGCAAGTTCACAAAGAAGAAAGGAGTTGTTCCTAATTCAAGTGTTTCTTTGGAATCTGAGGACACCTCAAAATCTCTTTGTGCTTCTCCTATAGCGCCAACGTTTACCACATACCAATATAATCAAATTTTACTCCTGTTAAATAAATCTCATACTACTGATTCAACTGTTAATCTTGCAGGTATTATTCATTCAAATTCATTTAAGTCTAATGGTTTGCCTTCTTGGATAATTGACACAGGTTCCACTGACCATATTGTATCTGATTTCAAGAGCCTGAATCATCCGAATTCCTATGCTTCTCTTTCTCGATTGGTATATCTCACTGATGGCAATGTTGTGCCTATTACCCATCTTGGTCCTTTTTTTTTACTCCTGACAAAATGATTCACAATGCTCTGTTTGTGCCAAATTTTAGTCTTAACTTGCTTTCTATTTCCAAATTACACGTGATCTTAATTGTTCTTTCATTTTCTATCATGATTTTTGTCTTCTTCAAGATCTCTCAACTGGTAAAATGAAGGGGGTTGGTAGGGAAGCGCATGTTTGTACTACTTTGAGCCCTCGCATGGTGTAGGCCCTCCGTCTTCTCCATCTTTGTTGTCGGGTAATACTAATTTGATATTTCCTTGAATACTTCTTGTTTTCCTGTCAATGCTAGTTCATCTTTTAAGTGCCATGCTCGTTTGGGGGATGCTACAATTTCAAAGCTTAATAAAATGAATATTGATGAGTCTTTTCATGTTCAACATGATTCTATTCTTAATGTTATGTTTGTAGATTAGCTAAACAAACACGTTTACCTTTCCCTTTTAGTACTTCTCGTTCTGATTCTCCATTTTAACACATTCATATGACTTGTGGGGTCCATATAAGATATCCACACATGGGGTCATCGTTATTTTCTTACTATAGTTGATGACCACACTAGGATGACCTTGGTCTATTTTCTAAAGCATAAGGATGAGATTGTCACTTATCTAAAGCAATTATTGGCTTTAGTTCAAAATCAATATTCTGTTACTGTTAAGACAATTATGTCAGACAATGGGTCTGAGTTCTTTAATAAAGTTTGTTCTTCTTTCTTTACTTCCATGGGTATAATTCATCAGAGTTCTTGTGTTAAAACTCCTCAGAAGAATGGGGTTGCTTAAAGGAAACATATACATATTTTAGAAGTTACTAGGGCACTTAGGTTTCAATCCAAAGTACATATTAAATTTTGGGGAGAGTGTGTTATTGCTGCCTGTTACTTAATAAATAGGTTACCTTCCTTGTGCTTAATTTAAAATCTCCTTTTGAAATGTTTTACAAAACATCACCATCTCTCTCTCTCATTTGAAAGTTTTTGGCTGTTTGTGTTATGATATTGTTCCTATGCCTGCTGATAAATTTTCACCTAGGTTTGTACCTTTTGTTTTTGTAGGACATTCCCTTACCAAAAAAGGGTATATTTTTTTCAACCTTGAAACAAAGTCTTTCTTTGTAAAATGTGATGTTAATTTTTATGAATATGTCTATCATTTTCAGCTTGCAACCAATAGTACTTCTCCTATGTTTCCATCTCATCCTTTTGTTTGTCTCAGAGTTTTTGTAGCTTTCTTTCCCACCAATGCCTGACCACAGTAACCTCATTTGTCAGAACCGGTGTTGCCTTCTACCAATCCATTAACACCTGTGTCAGAACCACACCTTGTTGATCCATCAAAATTTGATCCTTTATAATTTATTTCTTCTGAATATGTTCCGAATGCTTCAACAGGTGATCAAGCTCAGAGGATTGTTCCTGCTAGAGTTTCTTCTAGGGTGTCTAGGTCTCCTACTTGGCTTAATGATTACATTTATTCTTGTACTACTCTTCAAAGGTATCCTATTTCAATTCAAATTTCTTATTCCCATCTTCCTTCTTATACTCAGAACTTTGTCTCTTCTGTTTCCACTTTGTCTGAAACACAAACCTATAATAAAGCCAAATCTAATCCCCACTAGATCAAAGCCATGCATAATGAAATTCGAGCTCTTAAGCTGAATAGGACTTGGTCTTTGGTACCTTTGCCACCTGGGAAGGCTTGCATTGGCTGTAAATGGATTTTTCGAATTAAATATAAGGCCTCTGGGGAAGTTGAGAGGTTTAAAGCTAGGCTTGTGAAAAATGGGTACATTCAGAAGGAAGGTATTGATTTTGTTGACACCTTTTCCCCTGTTGTTAAGCTTACTACAATCAGATTTGTCTTGGCTTTTGCTGCAATCTTTGGTTGGTTTTTTATGGCAAATAGATGTCCACAATGCCTTCTTGCAAGGTGAGTTGTTTGAAGAAGTCTACATGGAGTTGCCTCAGGCTTTTGTAGACAGGGGAGAATGTTGTATGTAGGCTGCAAAAGTCTTTGTATGGATTGAAACATGCCTCAAGGTAGTGGAATGCAAAGTTGACTGGAGCATTAATTGCAGTTGGGTATGTTCAAAGTAAACATGACTATTCTATGTTAACTAAGAGTCAAGATGGTAAGATAGTGGTACTTTTGGTTTATGTTGATGATTTGTTAATCACAGGAAATGATGAGAATATGATTAATGAAATCAAAACAGTTTTGCATTAGAATTTCAAGATGAAAGACTTGGGACAACTAAAGTATTTTCTTGGCTTGAAAGTCTTGAAAAATAAAGAAAGAATTGTATTCAGTAAAAGGAAATATGTTCTTGAGCTCATGCAAGATTCAGGGATTGGGGGAGCAAAACCAACCTCAACACCCCTTGAGCAGAATGTAAGACTAACAATAATTGATTATGACAAGTGTGCTCATTCAGAAAATAAAAGTGAAGAAAGTGTCTTTGCTGATAAATGATAGTATCAGAGGTTGATAGAGAGATTATTGTACTTGATTAACACTAGGCCTTACATAGCAAACTCTGTCTAGCACTTGAGCCAGTTTATGTACAACATAAGAAGGAACATTTGGAAGAAGCTCTTAGAGTGGTCAGATACATCAAGAAAAAACTAGGTTTAGGGATTCAAGTGACTGCCAGATAATGGCTAGTTGTGACTCAGACTAGGGAACATGCCCTATGAAAAGGAAATCGGTAACATGATACTATATTAAGCTAGCAGAATTATTGATCTCTTGGAAGTCTAAAAAGATATATACAATAGCTAGATCTTCTGTAGAAGTAGAATATAGAAACATGGCAGCCACAACTTTAGAAATAGTTTGGTTGAAGGGTTTGTTGAAGGAACTTGGGGTGATTTATAGCAGGCCAGCAAAAATCTTTTGTGATAGCAAGGCAGCCCTGCAAATTGCAGCTAATCCAATGTTTCATGAGGGAACAAAACACATAAGCATAGACTTCCACTTTGTTAGAGAAAAAATCCAGAAGGGATTGATTCAGACAGAGCGTGTGAATACCAATGAGCAACAAGCTGACATTTTCACTAAAGCACTGAGAGTATCTCAATATGAGTATTTGTCTTCAAGTTAGGGATGAAAGATGTGTTTTCATCCACTAACTTGAGGGGGAGTGTTGAGGGATGAATTGTTGTGAGTTGGTTGGGTAGTTACAGTTTAGTTAAGTTGTTGTAAATGGTTATTTTATCAGTTGAGGTTAGGTAGTTTTGTATATATAAGTGATATACTCGTGTTATGTCAATATACTTGAAGTATTTTTCATATGAGTAGAACTTTTCCAAGTTTCAATAATTATGGTTCGATGCCGACATAAATTGCTCCGACGAGTGTTTACACGACGACGAGATAGATGGGACCAAATGCTTAAATAAACGATAACTATTATTTGACATGTGGCACTATGTGTTTAGAGGAAAATTTAAATTAAATATAAATTAAATTTAAAAAAAAATTCTAATCATGTTGTGATGTGTCGGGACAATGTCATCATTGACATATGTCATATGATTAGAAAATTAAATATATTAAATTAATTTAAAATTATGACTAATATGATAGAATGTGTAAGTAATGAGGACTAAATGTATTATTATATCAATTTTATTAATTATCACGTCAACACATCCGTTAAATATTAACAATAAATGGTTTGATTGAATGCGTTTAAATAGCTAGATGATTTGATTAATAAAATTTCAAAAAATGGTCAAAATGAAAAGAAGTAATAGTTAGATGGTTAATGATACATGGTTCGTTTGTTTCACTGAAAACAATTTCCGTAAAATGAATTACATCTTCTGGAAAACATTTTCTGAAAATATTTTATGGTGTTTGGAAGATGTGTAAATAATTTTTCACTAGTTGATAATTTTTTTAGAAATTATTTATTGCAAATATAATAAATAATATTATTTATTATAAAAATTTAATATTATTATTTTAAAATTATTAGAATAATTTATTTAATACTATTTATGCCAATATTATTATTAAAATATTATTTCTATAATTTTATAAATAAAAATATTAACTCTAGTATATTCTAAATAAAAAATATGATAAATTATATTGAATACCTATAAAAATAAAAATATTATATTATATTTTAAAATTATTAATAAATATATTTAAGGAATTTTTATAATATTATTAGACTATTATATTAATATTAAATACATAAATAAAAGTATTCACTATTAATAATTTCAATATTATTATTTTTAAGAAATTAATAAATAATATAACTTTTATTAATAATTTATTATATATTATTAAAATAAGAATATAATAGTATCATATATTATTATAATATAATTGAGTATATTATTGTAATAATATATTATTATATTATTTTATTAAAAATATTAATACATATATTTTAAATATGTTAATAATTAATATTTTATTAAAATATTCTAAAATATCATATTAATATTAAATTTATAAAATAACATTATTTTAAGTATTTATGTTTTGAAGGGAAAAGTTTGAAAAATTACTTACGAAAAATTAAACTATAAGTCATTTTCCAAAAAATGTAAAGGAAATTTTGTAATGTTTTACATTAATCAATTTGTTTTCCTCCAACCAAACAATGAAAAGTGAAGAAAATGTTTTCTGAAAAATGTTTTACGTGAAATAAACGGGCATATAATTTATCCTAATAACTTTTAATCTAATTTCACATATTTACTAATTAAGTAAAATATTTTTTAAAAATATATATTATTTATCTGTGAAATTATTTATGTAAAATATGTTTAAAGAAAATGTAAAATCCTTCTCCCAAAAGCCATCTTGTTAATCTTAAGTTTATTCTTCATCTTGTTTATTTCTTTGGGGGCTTATTAGATACTCTTTGAGCTCCGGAACCACTTCAACCGCGATGGAGAGAGGGAAGGAGACGGGGAGGGCGAGACCCGTCGCCATTTTCATGGCTTTCGGCATCAAAGTCGACGTCTACCCTATAGCTGTAATAACATCTTTTATTTATTCTTTCTTCTTAAAATTGATTAAGTTTCCGTTAAGGAATTTTTTTAAAAAATTTCCGTCTTTATTTACTGTTGATCACAGACCATTGCTGCGGCTTTTGCTACGGACCTGAATTATTACGACGTCGCTTTTATCACTCATTCAGCGCATGAGGTGCTCCTTCTCTTTCCTCTCATAATTACCGATTAATGAGAAGTATAGTTGTGTTTTTTCTTCCGGTTGCAAAATTAGCTGAAACAATAACTTTTTTTTTATTCAATATCTTGCAGAATCTGAGTTCACATTTGGCGAAAAGGGATGTAATTCATGTCCCACTTTCATCGCCACTTGTTCTTTCTAGTAATGGAACTGATGACAGTACTGGTTTAATTCGATTGATTCCTTTTTATTTCCATATTGTTACCTATTTTTAAAGCGAGTTAATGTTAATTTTATCAGGTTCGCCGGAATTAGAATTTTTAGAGCAGAAAAAGATTATTACAAAAGAGCACAGAAGAGAATGCTATTCGGCAGATGAAAGGCTACTCGGTGATGATCCATGCTTGGAGGGTGATTTTATTGGGATAAATTTCTTTGCTTTGGTATTTCTTTTGGATAAAGTAAAATCAATT